CTAAGTCACTCACTATTCTACTTGAAGTTACCCAGGTGAGAAGTGGCTAGACTGCAAACACACCCGTCTTCGTGAAGATCAATTTAGAACATATATTTAAAACTACCGATTGTTTTCTCTGTCCTTGGCATACTAATGCATCTTCACACTTATGGCTCATTACTCCCTTTGGTAGTCTGATGGGCCTCTCATTTCACTTGTGTTTCAGCTGTTCTGGTAAATACTGCCTGCCTGCCCTCCAGAGTACCCCAAAGCAAATTTCAGGTATGTCACATAGCCTATATTTAAAATCATGTTGCTCAAAACATACTCTCTATATTTCATAAAAGTCTGTCAAGCTGTTGTTGCTTGATGTGATAACAGAGATATGTAGGCACATATACAAGTATTTTTATTTCTTTAGTTAACATAAATGCAATTATAAATAAATAAATATTAGGCAGTAAATGCAGCCAACTAAGGAAAAGAGCATTTTGATTGTACTGTTGGAATAGATGGGGATTTGAGTGGCATTGTTTTTCATCCCTGCTGGAGGCTGGGGGATAGTAAATTTTCTCAAATACCATTTAAGTCTCTGTGCTCCTTGCTATTTGTCTTGCCAGGAATATCACAGGTCCTGATGGATTTTTATGTGCAGTCATGCTTGGCTGATGGTTCCACCTCTTTGATCGTCCCTCTAGGAATTCCATTACAGGGCTGTCCTTTGGAAATCTACTGTTAGCTTGTGCCTGCTGCACAGCCATGTGCCCTACAGCTTTAGTCTGCTCAATAGTTCGCCTTTTCTGTTGCTCTGCTAAGGACTTCTGTATAGAGCCGAGTTAGAATAAAGGATTGAGTTTTGACCTTCCCAAATTGTTAAATATAGTTGCATCCTTTTTATACACTTTATTATCCTAGAAGCAGTGCTGGACACACCTATGAGTTCTTCAGCTTCTTCAGAAATTGTAGATTCATCATCATCATTTTTTGCTGTAGTAGCCACCATTTATCTGAAAATTTTCTTGCAGTTTATTAAAGTGAGTTCTTTCTGCCTTTTGCCAGAGAATTTAGGTCTTCCTGAACACAAATGATTGGGAATTTTATTTTAATTTTTAATACTTACTGAATCACGAGCAGATCTGGGAGCTCACCAAGTTTGTTCTGTGTAAGCTGTTGGATAGATCAGATGTGATTTCTAAAATTGAGATCCCTTAGTAGGAATTCTGGACAGTTGTATTAAATTTAGTAAGAGGAAAATAATCAGAGGGGGTTAATGTCAACATTTGCCTTTGCAAACATCTTTTATCACTGTCCTATTCTTTGGACTCTCTTTGGAGGGAAGCTCCTGCTCTTGGTGGCACATGCTTACTCTGCATAAAGAGGTTTTCATCAGGGAATGGGGGATGTCCTCTCTTTACTGAAGTCCTGGGATCTTGAAATTTTCCACCAATAAATAGCTTGTCAGTTTTGTACTTAATGCAGAGAAATGTTGCTGAACTCTCATTGTACTTCTCAAATTTCTGAAAATTGTGTTTTTAAAGGAAAGGGGTATAATCTCTAGGGCTGTGGGATTACTATATCATAAATGAGCTATTTCCTTAATATTTGTATCTTCAAAAGTCCTATAATGTGGACATTCAAATCTATGTATATTAAAGATTTGTCTAAATAAATTAAAGAATCTTTTCTTCCAGCCAATTTTTGAGTAAATTAAATAATTATTCTTAGTCTAGGTAGAAATCAAGTGTCATCTGGTTCCTTCAGTTCTCATTTTACTCTTCCCTGGGTGATTAGAATCCCTGTGTCTTCTTTCAGTGTGTATGTTGTGTGATGTTTCCTTTATCTCCTCCAACCTATACTTGCTGGAGCCTCTGTGACATCTATGTATTTCCCCCATGTCAGCCTTCTTTAGAGGTGACCTAACTTTGCTGCATATACAACTGCTGTGTCTGACAAATGTGGAATTCTGCAATACAGAGCAATGCCCTCATGGTCACCACTTACTTATTTTTTAATACAAACTCCCTTCTCTCTCTCTCTCTCTCTCTCTCTCTCTCTCTCTCTCTCTCTCTCTCTCTCTCTCTTTCTTCTCCTGATCTGCCAGCATACCTTGAGCCATACTTAAAGGCTCCAGATCTCTTTCAACAATTTTATCTTCGCTCCTATTTCCTTTAGAAATACATTGTTCATTTCTTTAAGATGTGTATAATTCTTTCATGTATGATATTGAAATCACAGCAGATATATCTATATGTGCTTTCTAAATGAATTAACTGTTGAAGCTTGTAAATTGATCTATGCATGTGCATGTATATGCACATGGCGGACTGCGGTCAGAATATTATTGTCACCAAAACTACTTACAATTAAGGATTCCACAGATGGTGTGTCAGATCTCTTCTCCCTTTCCTGAGCATCCTGGCTGTGGTTCTCCAGCCCCCATTATTTTTGTGTTCATAATTCTAGCTTCCAGGATCTCTTAGAAGAGACAAAGATGATGCCAATAGACTATCCAGTACATGCCCACAGGACCGTCTTTTCTTTGCTGCTCTGCTTCTTTCCATATTATTTATCCTTCCTATTTATGGACTAGGCTTACCCTTTAATATTCCTCCATGTTAAAAACAATGGTAATCCATTAATACCTGTAAGGTAGGTATGGAGAAAATTTACTTGGTATCATTCTGCACTTGAAAACTAAGGACAGGGATGGATTCAATTTCTCTAGATAAGAACCAGGATCTGAACTCACTGCTATTGATTCATGGCTCTTCCTTTATCTCTGGCAGTAGCACTTCAGAGACAACACAGCACAGGTTTCCTGACAGAAGCAGAATACTTACATCAGAGCTGTGAACTGATGTCAGCAACTAACCAATAATGAAATACTGACCAGAAATTCACCTCATTGCTGAAGATATGTGGAATTTCCATTATGCTGCTTGGATTTGAAGGGACAAAGTCTTTCTTACTTTAGATTTGAATCCAATCCATTTAGTTGGAATTATGTCCTAGCTGTAGCTTATCCTAAGGAAATACATACATTAGTAACTGTGTATCTCTGAATGCTGGTTAATTCTAGTAACTTCCGGTTCAGAGCCTCTAGTTCTAGATTTCATAGAATTTGTTTGGAGTTAAATAATAGTTGAGGCTTCCTACTGTTAAGGCATAGTTTTCTTGCTTTCATACACTCAACCAACACATACTAAGGACCTGATATGTGTCAGATACTGTTCTAGGTACTGCAAAAATGACTCACAGAATGAAAGTGTTTGCAGTTTAGCAATTCAGCCATCATAGCAAAGTGGATCTAGAAGTAAAAGGTAAAGTAAGTATACATGAAGACATGAACACAGTATATTTCCACATACATTTAACAATTGTTTCTTTCCATTGGTTGCCTAAATGAATCACAGGACGTTTGGGTTTTTGGAACCTATTCTAATCCCTTCTATGTAGAGTAGAGAAATCTGAATCTGGGCAGATTAAATGATATGCTCAAGATAACAGAACAAATTATTATTAGCATCTGGGTCCAACCCAAGATTGATGAGTGTTAGGCTGGTATTTGTTCCGAAAGATTGTTAAGAAAAATATGTACATTTATTTATTTATTTTATTAAGGTATCATTGATATACTATCTTATTAAGGTTTCACAAGAAAAACAATGTGGTTACTACATTCACACTTATTATTGAGTCTCCCCCCATACCCCATTATAGTCACTGTCCATCAATGTAGTAAGATGCCACAGAGTTTCTACTTGTCTTCTCTGTGCTATACTGTCTTCCCCATGACACCCCACACACCATGTGCACTAATCATGATACCCCTCAATCCCTTTCTCCCTCCCTCCCCACCTGCCCTCCCATACCCCTCCCCTTTGGTAATCACTAGTCCCTTCTTGGAGTCTGTGAGTCTGCTGCTATTTTCTTCCTATAGTTGTGCATCATTGTTATACTCCACAAATGAGGGAAATCATTTGGTATTTGTCTTTCTCTGCCTGACTTATTTCACTGAGCATAATATCCTCCAGCTCCATCCATGTTGTTACAAATGGTAGGATTTGTTTCTTTCTTATGGCTCAATATATTTCATTGTGTATATGTACCACATCTTCTTTATCCATTCATCTACTGATGGACACTTAAGTTGCTTCTATATCTTGGCTATTGTAAATAGTGCTGCGATAAACATAGGGGTGCAGATGTCTTTTTGAATCTAAAAACTTGTTTTCTTTGGGTAAATTCCTAGGAGTGGGATTCTCAGGTCAAATGGTATTTCTATTTTGAGTTTTTTGAGTAACCATCATATTGTTTTCCACAATGGTTGAACTAATTTACATTCCCAGCAGCAGTGTAGGAGGGTTCCCCTTTCTCCACATCCTTGCCAACATTTGTTGTTGTTTGTCTTTGGGATGGAGGCCATCCTCACTGGTGTGAGGTGATATCTCATTGTGGTTTTAATTTGCATTTCTCTGATAATTAGCGATGTGGAGCATCTTTTCATGAGCCTGTTGGCCATCTGAATTTATTCTTTGGAGAACTGTTCATATCCTCCACCCATTTTTTAACAGGGTTATTTGCTTTTTGGGTGTTGAGGTGTGTGAGTTCTATGTATATTTTGGATGTTAAACCCTTGTCAGATATGTCATTTACAGATATATTCTCCCATACTGTAGGATACCTTTTTGTTCTGCTGATGGTGTCCTTTGCTATAGAGAAGCTTTTTAGCTTGATGTAATCCCATGTGTTCATTTTTGCTTTTGTTTCCCTTGCTTGAGGAGATGCAGTTAAGGAAAAAGTTGCTCATGTTTATACTCGAGATTTTTGCCTACGTTTTCTTCTAAGAGTTTTATGGTTTCATGACTTACATTCAGGTCTTTGATCCATTTTGAGTTTACTTTTGTGTATGAAGTTAGACAATAATCCAGTTTCATTCTTTTGCATGTAGCTGTCCCGTTTTTTCCAACACCAGTTGTTGAAGAGGCTGTCATTTCCCTTTTGTAAAGCCACGGCTCTTTTTTTTTTTTCAACATTGGGAAAATAACTTAATTTTGTTTGGGGCAGTGGGCAGGTGTCCAGTCTCAGAACTTCTGGAATTGCTTCTTGGTGCCAGTGGCCTTGGTGACCTTGAGCACGTTGAAGCGCACAGTCTTGCTCAGGGGCCAGCACTCGCCCACCATGACAATGTCGCCAATCTGGATGTCCCTGAAGCAGGGGGACAGGCGCACAGACATGTTCTTGTGGCGCTTCTCAAAGCGGTTGTATTTTCGGATGTAGTGGAGGTAGTCCCAGTGGATGACAATGGTCCTCTGCATTTTCATTTTGGTCAGTACGCCAGACAAGATCCACCCTCGGATGGACACATTACCAGTAAAGGGACATTTCTTGTCAATGTAAGTGCCCTCAACGGCCTCCTTGGGTGTTTTGAAACCCAGACCTATGTTCTTGTAATATCGAGGGAGTTTCTCTTTGCCAGTTTCTCCAAGCAGAACCCTCTTCTTATTTTGAAAGATGGTTGGCTGTTTCTTGTAGGCGCGCTCAGTCTGAATGTCCGCCATCTTCCCGGCCACCTGAAAAAAAGCCATAGCTCATTTACTGTATATTAATTGGCTGTATATGTTTGGGTTTATATGTAGGCTATCTAGTCTCTTCCATTGGTCTATGGGTCTGTTCTTATGCCAGTACCAAATTGTCTTGATTACTGTAGCTTTGTAGTAGAGTTTGAAGTTGGGGAGCGAGATCCCCCCAGCTTTACTCTTCCTTCTCAGGATTGCTTTGGCTATTTGGGGTCTTTTGTGGTTCCATTTGAATTTTAGAATATTTGTTCTAGTTTTTAGAAGAATGCTGTTGGTATTTTGATAGGGATTGCATTGAATCTATAGACTGCTTTAGCAGGATGGCCGTTTTGGCAATATTCATTCTTCCTATCCATGAGCATGGGTCATGTTTCCATTTATTGGTATCTTCTTTAATTTCTCTCATGAGTGTCTTGTAGTTTTCAGTATATAGGTCTTTTATTTCCTTGGTTAGGTTTATTCCTAGATATTTTATTCTTTTTGATGCAATTGTGAATGGAATTATTTTCCTGATTTCTCTTTCTGCTAGTTCACTGTTAGGAATGACACAGATTTCTTTGTATCAGTTTTGCATCCTGCAACTTTGCTGTTTTCAGATATTAGATCTTGTAGTTTTGGAGTGGTTTCTTTAAGGTTTTTTATGTACAGTATCATGTCATCTGTAAACAGTGAGAATTTAACATCTTCCTTGCCAATCTTGATGCCTTTTGTTTCTTTGTGTTGTCTGATTGCCATGGTTAGGACCTCCAGTACTATGTTGAATAAAAATGTTGAGAGTGGGCATCCTTGCTTGTTCCTGAGCTTAAAGAAAAAGTTTTCAGCTTCTTGCTGTTAAGTATAATGTTGGCTGTGGGTTTGTCATATATGGCCTTTATTATATTGAGGTACTTACCCTCTTTCACATTTTGTTGATAGTTTTTATCATGAATGGATGCTGAATTTTGTCAAATGCTTTTTCAGCATCTACAGAGATGATCATGTGGTTTTTGTCCTTTTTGTTGATATGGTGGATGATGTTGATGGATTTTTGAATGTTATACCATCCTTTTATCCCTGGAATAAATCCTACTTGATCATGATGGATGATTTTTTGATGTATTTTTGAATTTGGTTTGCTATATTTTGTTGAGTATTTTTATGTCTATGTTCATCAGGGATATTGGTCTGTAATTTTCTTTTTTTTGTGGGGTCTTTGCCTGGTTTTGGTATTAGAGTGATGCTGGCCCCATAGAATGAGTTTGGGAGTATTCCCTCCTCTTCTACTTTTTGGAAAACTTTAAGGAGGATGGGTATTAGGTCTTCACTAAATGTTTGATAAAATTCAGTGTTGAAGCCATCTGGCCCAAGGGTTTTGTTCTTTTGTAGTTTTTTGATAACCAGTTCAATTTCGTTACTAGTAATTGGTATGTTCACATTTTCTATTTCTTCCTGGGTCACCCATGGAAGGTTGTATTTTTCTAGAAAGTTGTCCATTTCTTCTGGTTATCCAGTTTGTTACTGTATACTTTTTTGTAGTATTCTCTCATAATTCTTTGTATTTCTGTGGTGTCTGTAGTGATTTTTCCTTTCTCATTTCTGATCCTGTTTATGTGTGTGGACTCTCTCTTTTTCTTGATAAGTCTGGCTAGGGGTTTATGTATTTTGTTTATTTTCTCAAAGAACCAGCTCTTGCTTTCAGTGATTCTTTCAATTGTTTTATTCTTCTCGATTTCATTTATTTCTGCTCTAATCTTTATTATGTCCCTCCTTCTACTGACTTTGGGCCTCATCTGTTTTTCTTTATCTAGTTTCATTAATTGTGAGTTTAGACTGTTCATATGGGATTGTTCTTTCCTGAGGTATATTTCCTGCAATATACTTCCCTCATACATGGCCTTTGCTATGTCCCACAGATTTTGTGGTGTTGAATTGCTCTTGTCATTTGTCTCGAAATATTGCATTATATCTGTTTTTATTTGGTCATTGATCCATTGATTATTTAGGAGCATGTTGTTAAGCCTCCATGTGTTTGTGGGCTTTTCCATTTTCTTTGCCTAATTTATCTCTACTTTCATACCTTTGTGGTTTGAGAGCTGATTGGTACACTTTCAATCTTTTTGAATTTACCAATACTCTTTTTATGGCCTAGTGTATGATCTATTCTTGAAAATGTTCCATGTGCACTTGAGAAGAATGTGTGTCCTTCTGCTTTTGGGTTAAGTATTCTGTAGATGTCTGTATGTTCCATCTGTTATAGTGTGTTGTTCAGTACCTTTGTGTCCTTACTTATTTTCTGTCTGGTTGAATCTGTCCTTTGGAGTGAGTTGTGTGTTGAAGTCTACTAAAATGAATGCATTGCATTCTATTTCCCCCTTTAATTCTGTTAGTATTTGTTTCATATATGTAGGTGCTCCTGTGTTGGGTGCATAGATATTTATAATGCTAATATCCTCTTGTTGGACTGACCCCTTTATCATTATGTACCATCCTTCTTTGTCTCTTGTTACTTTTTTTGTTTTGAAGTCTATATTTACTTATACAAGTACTTCAGTGTCTGCATTTTCCTCCCTATTGTTTGCATGAAATATTTTTTTCTATCCCTTCACTTTTATTCTGTGTATGTTTTTGGGTTTGAAGTTAGTCTCTTGTAGGCAGCATATATATGGGTCTTTTTGTAATCCATTCTGTGACTCTATGTCTTTTGATTGGTATATTCAGAACATTTACATTTAGGGTGATTATTGATAGGCATGTACTTATTGCCATTGCAGGCTTCAGATTTGTGGCCACCAAAGGTTCAAGGGTAATTCCCTTAGTATCTAATAGTCTAATTTAACTCACTTAGTATGCTATTTTAAACACAATCTATAGGTTTCTTTTTCCCTCCTTTTACTTCCTCTTCCATTTTTTTATATTAGGTATTATATTCTGTATTCTTTGTCTATCGCTTGACTGACTTTTGGGATAATTGCTTTGATTTCACCTCTGCTTAGTATTTATTGTTCTACTTACATTACTGTGGTTTTATTTCCTCTGGTGACAGCTATTTAGCCTTAGGAACACTTCCATCTATAGCAGTCCCTCCAAAATGTACTGTAGAGGTGGTTTGTGGGAGGTCTTTTAGCTTTTGTTTTCTGAAAATTGTTTAATCCCTCCTTCAAATTTAAATGATAATCTTACCAGGTAGAGTATTTTTGGTTCGAGGTCCTTTTGTTTCATTGCATTAAATACATCAAGCCACTCCCTTTTGGCCTGTAAGGTTTCTGTTGAGAAGTCTGATGATAGCCTGATGGGTTTTCCTTTGTATGTGATATTTTTTCTCTCTCTAGCTGCTTTTAAAAGTCTGTCCTTATCCTTGATCTTTTCCATTTTAATTATTATATGTCTTGGTGTTGTCTTCCTTGGGTCCCTTGTTTTTGGAGATCTATGCACCTCCATGGCCTGAGAGACTATCTTCTTCCCCAGATTTGGGATGTTTTCAACTGTTACATGCTCAAAGACACTTTCTATCCCTTTTTTTTTCTCTCTTCTTCTTCTGGTACACCTATAATGTAAATATTGTTCCATTTGGATTGGTTCCACAGTTCTCTCAATATTCTTTCATTCATAGAGATAATTTTTTCTCTCTGTGCCTCATCTTCTTTGTATTTCTCTTCTCTTATTTTGATTCTATATAGTGCTCTTCTACTACATCTAATCTGCTTTTAAATTCCTCCATTGTATTTTTCATTCCAAATACTGAATTTCTTAATGATTCAGTCTCCATTGTAAATTTGTCCCTGAGTTCTTGAATATTTTTCTGTACCTCCATGAGCATGTTTATGATTTTTATTTTGAAATCTCTTTCAGGAAGATTGATAAGGTCAGTTTCCTTTGCCCTTTTCTGGAGTTTGTGGGTTTTGGTTTGAACCAGGTTCCTTTGACATTTCATATTTGTATGTGGCACTCTGTATTGCCCAGAAGATCTACTCTCTGGAGCTTCTCAGCCTCTGGAGCCATGCCTGGGGTCGTGGGGAAGTGGTGCTGGGGCCCTGTTCCCTGAGGTCTGCTTTTTTCTCCATGTGTATGCAGTCTGGCACAGCCTTCTTTCTTGTTGCTTCTGTGTCAGCTCCAGGTCTCCCAGCTGCAGCATTGCGCAAAACGCCAAAACCCAGTCAGCTTGCTTCCACCCATTGTATGTACATTTTAGAAAGGAAATCCCTTAGGCTTTATGGGTCATTGATGACCCTGAGTCTTGCCTTAATGGGAAGAAGAAAAAATAAATCCTTATTTGTCAGGGTTCTAGCTTTCAGTATGGTTAATTAGCTTCATTGTTTGCTGTTTAATTTTTTTTTGTATCATTAATCTATAATTACATGAGGAACATTATGTTTACTAGACCCTCCCCTTCACCAAGTCCCCCCCACAAACCCCATTACAGTCACTGTCCATCAGCATAGTAAGATGCTGTAGAATCACTACTTGTCTTCTCTGTGTTGCACAGCCCTCCCTATGCCTCCCCCCACATTATAAATGCTAATCTTAATGGCCCCTTTCTTTTTTCCCCCCACTTATCCCTCCCTTCCCACTCATCCTCCCAAGTCCCTTTCCCTTTGGTAACTGTTAGTCCATTCTTGGGTTCTGTGATTCTGCTGCTGTTTTGTTCCTTCAGTTTTTCTTTGCTCTTATACTCCACATATGAGTGAAATCATTTGGTACTTGTCTTTCTCCACCTGGATTATTTCACTGAGAATAATACCCTCTAGCTCCATCCATGTTGCTGGTTTGCTGTTTAAATTTAACCAAATAAATAATTACTTTTTTATATAGAAAAGAATGGTGGTGATGGCATTTTGTAGGTTTGTTCCATCTAAGAGGAAGCTGATTACTTTTGTGACCCTTAGGCTGCTCTTATCATTACTGAGTAGATGGGGCATAAACATCAGAGAGACCTAGGGCTGGATGGAATATTAGTGGCCATCATTTAACCCTTTCATTTATAGTTGGGATAACAGAAGCTAAAC